ATACATCCCCCCCCATTGGACAAGGCATCAGAAAAACTCCCTGTTTCCATCAAGCTGTGTCAATACATCTCCCCCCATTGGACAAGGCATCAGAAAAACTCCCTGTTTCCATCAAGCTGTGGACTAAGTCATAATTTGGAAAATACTGAACGTTTGTAGATGTCCTAATTATTTCCAAGCCATTGTGACGTCGAAATTCTCTATGCCAGTTAGATCTGGCCCGCTTAATTAAATCCTGTGTCAATCTGGTGCTCACGCCATCAATCGCTAAAAAAAGTTCTGGGCCACTATTGTCTGGTTCCTTTTGGTTTGTGTGTCCAAAACTTGATCTACAGTATGGACATTTTTTGTTAGATAGTTTCCTATAACAGTCCTCACATAAGGAGTGGTTACATACGTCACATTCCCCAAAGAAAGTATCCAGTTTTGTCTCAAAGCATATGCTGCAATCCTCCATCCACAATTCCTCCCATGAACACATGGTTGTTCTGGCTTTTACGTGTTTACGAAAACAGTCCCACAGGGAGCTCCAACAGTGTCACAGTCATACATGTACAACATCTACAGTTAACTGGTACCTCCCAGTTTTACAAGGAACCTTATCTGTTCCTTACCCCAAATGATGAGATGGTAACACCCTATCCCGAAGAGATAACCACGCCTCCCGTTTTCAAACGGCATCATCCCAAGTCATCGCCATGACTTTCCAGCTACGACATCCACTATGTCCCGAATCTCCAGGTGTCCCCTGCAGCGCCTGTACCTCTGCAGCCCATAGTATATCTCATTACGCTGTGACAGTTCCTGTTACACTGTTGGAACACTTTGCTGAGCTTCTCATCAACCCTACATGTGACAATTCTCATTTTATTTTTCTGAAGGTGAAGCCGAACTTTACATGGGACAGTTGTCATTCTTGTTAATATGGCCAATTTCGCCGTCTCTCGAAATACACCACATCCAGTTCAAATCCTGGTCACGCAGCATCAAAAATAAACACGATGTTAATATCCACTATGTTACACAATGTTAATATCCATTACAAAAGCTAGTTCCTAATCAACATACAGCATCATGTCGTGGCACCAAACCTAAACACCTGTGTAAGGCAGACAAAAACTAAACACCTGCCCGTCCATATCAAAGAGTTCCGTACAAATGTTCATGGGGCAACTTGGCCAGGACCCGCTCCATCGTGGAGCAGGTCCCATACGGGACTCTGCCCGTCTCCACGTCCTACTCCCAACTCTCTAGCTACTCGATCCCGGACTCGACTACCCTTCTGCTGGCTATTGTCTTTTTATAAATAATACCCAAATACTTAATTTAAGCCTAGTCCCAATTGGACATCAATAACCCAGCCCCCGGATCATCTAATTATGAAGGCCCGTGCGACTAGGAGTACCCGTTATCAACTTCCCATCTTTGATCTACCTTATACATTGTTTCTTATCTTGTTTACTTACAAATATGTTCGCCAGCGCGAGGCATACAAAAGAGAGCATCTATCTGTCCTGATCAATCATACTGGCACGGTGCTTCACCACTTGGGTACACACCCCGCCCGTTATCAGGCGCGCATCACTACCTATCACTCACGAGATCTTTTCCTCGGTCCAGCATTAACTGACTTTTGACCTGATGTACTTTAAACTAAGATGCTACGCTCTACGATACACACCATTCCAAAATTACCATTAAACCCATTTTTTACTCATTTTGTTACACACGGAAGGTCGAGCAGACGGACAATGCGGCGACTATATGCTTATCCGACAAGTTTTAGGGAGCCATAGTATACATAGGAATTTCACATTTGTATCGTTAACATATCGCAGCAAAGTATTGTTGAAGTAAATCAATCTGTTTTCTCTTGTGTGTAGAAATAAACCACAGAATATAGACTTAACTATCTATTTTTACGCTATTTATGATATTTTACAACAGAATGATAATTTCTTCAACTTATTAACGTGTTAATGTATTGAAGTGATCTAGGATGCATGGCTGTGTGTCGCGGAACATTTTAAATTTGCCGCTTTTACGTGTATGCATGTGAACTCGAGAGTCTTCACGGTCAGCCATTGTTGTTGCGTTGTTTGTTTCTCGTGGTGCCAAACGGGACCCACAACGCCTTGCAGACGAAGTAATATCGTCGTGAGGCATCACAGTATCTATTGACCATAAAAAGGCAAGTCCTACGTCTGATCCCTAATAGCATTATTACCACATAACCTGTCTAGTGTGTAGTGAATTTGCTTATATAATTTGATCTCAAAATCGACATAAATTAATTCTAAATTAATCTATTCATAGTAGTTTGTTTTGTTAACAGATCTGTTTGTTTTTATTGCGGTCATTTTGATGCCTCATTTGCTAAATTTAATAGAAAAATAAAGATTTTATGAGGTTTATGAGTAACAATAACTGTGCTCGTTGATTACACATCATCATTTATGTATGAACGAGAAAAGTGAGCGCTGATCGGAAGGAGGTTACCATGGTTCAATTTGAAGTTATGAAATCACAGAAAATTTGATTAAAATTCATATGTCATACCAATCGTACATATCTGTCTGTCTTCCTGGTAAATGCTAACCGCTTCCTACCAATTCGGCGAGGTAGTATTCTCTGCACCTTACTTAATAGATCGTGGGACTAGCAAGCGAAAGGTCCAATGTAGACAGTGACAGAAATACTGGACCTACAATCCAGACTTAATACTCTTGAAAACCACAGGGAGAGTACTTTTCTAAAGTATGAATACTATAAATATTTTCAAAAACATTCAAGTGTTTAGAGCGCATTAACCAAGATTTATAAAACACATACAAGTGAATAGCACGTTATAATATAAATTTTACAAAAACACACAATTGAAAAGCACATCAAACATTTGAATTTCATTTCAACTAAAGGGAAATTGCGCAAGAATATATCTAAAAGAATAAAAATAATCTTGAATCTTGACTGTCTTGTACACGATCTTAGTGCAATGTTTGATAAGCAATATGCCAAATCAAATATTGTTGATTAAAACATTAGTCATAGAGAAACGTAAAGGCCGTCCTGTAACGTAAATAGATGCATACAATATCATGTGATGTACTGTTGTGTTAATGTATTGCAAACATTTTATATGCACTTGAAATTGAGTGACATCGAATGACATATGATTGTCAATTTGAACATGAATGGAACTTTAAGGAACCGTTATAACTAAAAAAAATAGACAAAGCGATCTCCTAGTCGGCGGTCACATTTACATAATTTTGCATTACACAATTGTTGGTTAACCTTTAATCCAAATTTACTTAAGAAAATGCATTAATTAGCCATCAATAGTTTGGAGATATTCGTCGTCTTTACTTTCCAGTTTTTGTCAGGAAATTGATGTTCTTCTTCCAAATACAACAAACATGACAAACTATACTGGCATGAATCAATCTATTTCACGGAGTAAGAATTTGAATTCAGAAGAAATATTAACAAACTTTAAAGAGGTTCTAATTCTAAAATTTTGTACATTCCTGATTAGTTAAAATCATGGCGTGAATAACACATTGTCAACAGTAATAATGGAGCTATGGAAAGATCAGACCATTGCCGTTCAACACAAGAAGATTTGAATTAAATTTCTCTCTGCTTTTAAAAAAAATATTTTCAAGCTACGTATAGGATAAAAGTGAAGATTAAAATATCCTTCCCTGTGTATTGATATCGAGGCTGTTGTCGTTCATGATGCTGAGAATTTGTAAAATGAAAACTGTACAAAAAATGCCAAATTATACGTCGTGTTTTCTGTTTCCTTTGTGGTTTCTGTTTGCCCTCATGTTTTTGTTTCCCTTCATGTTTTCTGTTTCTCTACTTCAATGCACATGGTGACAGTGTTTCAGATTGGGCCCGGCCATCGGCCAATGGCCGAAAAAAATGAAAATGGCCGGGAAAAAAATGAATTTGGGACATAAAGGCCGGTAGTATTTCAGGTTTTCAGACTAAATGGCTGATAAATTTTCTATTGAATAAGACATCTGACGATAAATTTCAGCAATTAATCGGTTTCTTCAAAATACTCTCATTCAAGGCCTAACGAACACAGTTCGACTGGATTCCGACCATCTATTCTCTGAATGCATGTCGTGGAAGCGCTTCTTAATCTTTCACTCGGAACACCTCGCCTAACCCTTCCAACGAAGTTTCTAAAGAAAACGACGGATGGTATTCCGAACGTTTCTATCGCGCAGACGCTTGAAATAAAAACAACATGGCGCCGAAGAAACGAAAAATACATTGAAGAGGGCCAAAAAACGTTATTTTCTTGCGGTGTTTCTCGGCCAACATCGGAACAGGACGAAACAATTATAATTACCAAACAAGAAGAAAATAAAACCACGACAGCCAGAAAATTTTAGCAAAAATGGTTACAACAATTTAAATGGCTGAGGTACGATCCCGAGAAGGACAGCATGACTTGTGACTTGTGCTTGAAATCAACACGTAATAACGTGTTCACTAAAGGATATAGCAACTTCAAAACAAGTACTCTTATAGATCATATCAAATCTAATGATCATCAAATTGCGTTGATAATGCCAGCGCTGAGATCCGACCTACAAAAGTTACAGTCAAAACAGTACATGGCTAAGGAAAAGGCAGCTCTGGTAGCACTTCGTTCTGTTTATTGGTTAGCGAGAGAGAACATTCCGCTCAGCAAGTTTCAGTCTTTCATTAAGCACCAGAAGAGTGTAGGTGTTGAAGACTTGACGGCCCTATCAGTGTCCCCGGGTGTGTCATATGAGTCTGACTATGCAGCACATGAATTCTTAAAGGCACTTTCTGATACAATTGAAGATGATACTGAAAATGCCTTACATAAATCGTCATTTGTCACAGTCCTTGCTGATGAGTCTACCGACAGAACACTCACCCATCGCTTAGTCATATACTGTCAAACTTTTGATCCTGATACTATGATTCCCACAACCCAATTTTTGACCAATATCCAGCTTGACTCTGGTACAGGAGCGGCCGTCTCAGCTGCAATTTACTCTGAATTATCAAAACGCGGTGTAGATGCAGAAAAAATAATGGGCCTTGGCACAGATGGTGCAGCAGCAATGACAGGTAAGATTAAAAATAAAAACTTAAATTTACTTTAAAAATAAATACATGTAAAGTCAATAAACACATTGTAACTTAAAGAATACCTTCATTTTTTTATAATTTGTATGTTCTTGAGGAAGTTAACTCTTAACCTTATTTTAAAGTGTACATCTTACCTGGCTTTTTTGTAAAATTAATACACATGTTCATATTTGTTCAGGGAGAGGCAAAGGTGTTACAGGTATGATGCTGCGAGAGACCCCACATCTGATTAATGTGCACTGTATTGCCCATCGCCTTGCTCTTTGTACAAGTCAAGCTGCTGAAGATATTCCGGCAATGAAAGTCTACTAAGAGATTATTACAAGCATATTCTACTACTTCAAGTACTCCACATCTAGAGTTGCTAAACCAAAACAGGTTCAGGATCTACTTGATGCCCCCCAGCTAAAGTTTAAGGAAGTGCATTCTGTTAGGTGGATGTCCTTCTATGCTGCACTTGAAGCTGTATACTGGTAATTGAATGAATGATAATTAAAATAAACACCAATATTTTCTCGCCAGTTAGTTATGACTGTTATTTTCACTTTTAAAGTACACACATTTAACTCTTCAAAAACATGGCACAGGTGTTTGGATCCACTCTTAACATACCTTGCTGGAACAGAATCTTCTGATCCTAAAGCACAGGGACTCAAGAAAAAGGTTTTTTTCATTCCAGTTACAGTTAGTGTTACTGTTTATTTTTGCATGTTGTTGATGTTCAAGTTGCAATGTTGAAATAATATTGCTACATTCACCTTGTTTTAGTAACTATAGTAACAGTTATCATGTTTATACTATGACTAAAACTCAAGTGCCACTGCGCTTAAGTCTTTATTTTGTTCAATTACTCGTCATCATGTAAATTCAGCCAAAATCAATCTTAATTAAAATTGAAACCATGTGATTGTAGCAGTATAAATATTTCAATGATATATTATTTGTCTTACTTTTTTAAAGAAATTAGTGTTTTCAAAAGTTGTATTGCTTTTGCTGTTCTTTTTTCCTGTTATTTACAATTCCATTGAATGCATAGTTCATTGTTCATTTTTTGCTTGCACATTCTATCCTTGGGTAATTTTACTTGATAAATTGATTTAAACCGTGTCCAAGATGACTCAGGACATATTTTAGCTAGTGCCTTCCGGAGCACCTGATTTCACCTCTGATTTTGATAGAGATTCATATTATCCTGTCATGTGTGTCTCCTTATTTCTTTTTGTTGTAGTATGAAGTATGCAGCCAGTAACATTTGACTTCCCCTTTATTTTAGATTGGAACGCTGAAGTTTATCTCGCTGACATACATTCTCATGGACGTCATTCCAATTGTCTCCAAGCTGAATCTCTTTTTCCAGAAGGAGTTTACTGACATTGCTATGGTCAAGGTAAGTTTTCTGCTGTATTTGAATTTGACAAATAACTAATTCATATTATTAAGTAGGTTTGTTTGCAAAATTTTTTATTGTATATTCTGTGCAGGTACAGATTGACCATACTTTGAAAGACCTGGGCCAGTTGAGGGAATATGAAGGGACATTCCAGCAGCAACTGAAGAAGGACATCCAGGGCCATACTCTGCATTATAAGGAGCTCACCATCACGAGATGCCCAGAGAAGGATATCATTTCTGTGAAACAGAAATTTATCTCAAATCTTATTGCTAACAAAGAGAAAAGGTTTGTTAATAATTATGCATGTTGATCAAAGCATTACAGTTGTGTACACTGTTAAATTAAAACAAAACTTTGTATTGTTTGATAATTTATCCCGATTTTGTTGTTCACTTCATTGTGTCGATGTCTGCCTCTGCTAGGGGAGTGTGCCTTCAGTTTATGTTGATGGCTGCATCTGCAGAGGGAATGTGCTTCCATGTTGATTCGTATATGGACTTTCCCTTTTGATTGCGCTTTGGTACTTTAGCGTTTACTTAATATGAACATTATATGTATAAATCACATCTTGGAAATCTGGACGGTTGAAAACTTAAAAAATATTTTGTACTTTTTATTATTTCATATGCAATAACTTAATGAGAAAGTTACAATATGAAAATCATATAATTAACATGAATATCAATATTATATTTGATTGCAGGTTTCCAGACACAGAACTTATCTCAGCATTTGGAATACTCTCTATGAGGCCCATTGGATTGATCTCAGGTGAGGAGTTGGAGAGTTGGGGAAATGAGCAGTTAGATGTCATTCTAGATCATTTTTGACAATCACAGACACACACCTGGACCGAGGAGAAAGAAAAGAAAACCAAATGTTCTCAACCTCTTGTAGACTCACAGGCAGCAAGGAGAGAGTGAAAGGAATTAAAAGAGTATGTCAAAGTTCAGATGTACCCAAGAGACTCCATAGTTACTTTGTGGAGACTAACCAATCAGTACCACAAGGATATGGCTCCCAACATCATAAAACTTGCCTATATGGCCATGATATGCCCAGTTAATACAGCAGGTTGTGAAAGGGGGTTTTCTGTACAAAATCAAATCCTTTCTCCACAAAGAAACAGGCTTACACCTGAAACGCCGGAAATGCTGTTGAGAGTGAAAATAAATGGGTCAGAATGTGACAGTTTTGATTATGAGAAGGCTCTTTCTGCATGGAAAAGCAGCACTATCAGGAAAATGTTTAGCTGTGACTAACTGTGTATGTGTGACTATGCTCAAATGCTGCTATAGGCTTTTTCACGAAAAAAGCCTTTCCTTGCCTGTATACTGCTATGTACAACATGTAACAAACTTGATGTACTCTACTACTGTGACTGTCTTGTGCATAAAAAAATAAATGTTTATCGTTTGACTGTGGCCTAAATGTTTTTGTTCTTTCGGACAAAATGGCCTTAGAAAATTTCAGTCTTTAGGACATCTGTCCTAAAGAAAGCTGGCCAATCTGAATCACTGATGGTGTATTAATCTATTGCATTCACAAATCTGTCGCTTTTTATTTCAAGTTTAGATCATTCTTTTCTATAGATCCCCGTTTCTGGATAGAAACATTCCTGCATATATATATTTCCTGGAATTAAATGAAATGAAGATTTTTTGGCCATAACATTGAACAGATACAAGACGCTCGGCATTATACAAGGCTGCCTCTTTTCACTTTTTCATCGCACCTTTTTCGTGTCTTCGGTTAAGTGAAATATCTTCTCTTTTTTTTTTTTTGCTTATCATGAGGATAACGAAAACGACATGAACAAATTTCACTGCAACAAAAATTTAAATCGTATGTAAAATAAATGTAAATTTATTACAGACTACACCATGGAGGTAAAGTCACTAACGACTGTATACAATATTGTGGAACGTATATGATAAGTAATTTCCTTTACACATTACCTTAATGCAAGATGTTGCTTACCAATGGAACAGAATCGCATTCTTGTTCTAGTTATGCTCTTTATTCTCGTGTCGACAAAACATTTACGTCGGGACTGCACATCTATAATTTAACTTTTCTGCAAATTTCAATTGAAATAAAATAAAAAATATTGGTTATTTATATGATTGCAAAACAACGTTGAAAACGAAGCTTTACTACCTTAAATACCACTGCAAGAAAATTGGCATTTACTTTAGAATTGAATTTGTTGTAAATTTGTTTAAACTTCAAGTTTGAGGTTTATTTGGATTTACTGAAAAAGTAAATATATAAATAAACCTAAATTTACTTTTATGTTAAATCTCACATTTATTATTCAAATAAATGTCATATAAACCTCAAATTTAACATTTACAGGGATATATTTGTCAAGTATATTCCAAGTTAAAATTTACTTGGATTAACTGAAAAAGTAAATCTACAAATAAAACCTAAATTTACTGTCTTGTTAAATCTCCCATTTATTGTATATTTATTGTTAAAATAAATGTTGTGTAAACTTGAGATATAATATTTTACTAAAATTTATCAGTCATAAACTTCAAGTTAAAAATTTATTTGGATTTACCAAGAATTAAATCCTTCTTTTATTCCACAGATAAAGGTCAAATAATTTAATGTTGAGGTTTAATATTTACACAAGTACATATCAAAAGATTATTTAAGGATAAACAATCCTTATATTTACACTTGGTCACTTTGAAATTGAAAAAAAAAATTAAAGATCGCCTTATACACATTGTTCGGACAGCCGCCCACTTTATAGAACAGCCAAGTAAATCCAAAAACACTAGGTGGCGCTGCTGTTGACAAGTACAGTAAACAAAATAGTTCTCAAAGATAAGAGTACAATCAACATGTTTTATAATATTTATTTAAATATTTAGACATCTTCTTTTAGTTTTAGGAATCAATAGTTCATCGTTTACAAAATATTCCTCTGTCATAGTAAACAAATTCATTATTTAACACCGCGCAGGTATATATCTATAAATACGTGATGAGGCCGCCCGATCAGCTGATCGAAAGAGCGGGAAAACGATGAACATGACACGCCATTTTCTCCACGTTGATAGCGCTAGTGCGTGCTGTTGAATGTGAACGTGCATCCATGGAAGGATGAGTTAGATAGAAACCCTGATGACATGTTTAACTGAAAGGATGCAGCAGAATAATTCATACTATGGTTATGTTTTGTATTTTCTGGGGGCATCGGTACAACCTGGCGACATTCGGTTGGGACATTGCATTTTCAACATTTTTACCGGCCGCGATCTCGGAGAGTGAGATGGACATGCTTTTCTTTTGTATATCTGAACAGGATCGATTGCAACGACGATTCATTTCTGTGTCCAGACAGAAACATTATGGATCTTGATTCATATCCGAGATTGGACAGATATTCGGATATAAACTGAAATAAATCTGGAAATAAACAAAATATTATTAAAATTTATTTGAAGTAAATTTGAGATTTATTCAAATTTAATTCTTGAAGGTTTTATTTTACCTGAAATATACTCAGATTTACTCACTGAATTAAATTTGACATTTACTCAAATATAATGATAAATTAATTTTTGATGTTTCAAGTTTACATCAGAAGTAAACTGAATTAAATTTGGAATTTAATTTAAACTTTATTTTATTCCATAACAACATGCGAATAATACATAGCAAAGTATACATAGGAATTGGTATTGGAAACAAGTTAAACAACTTATATAAATCCTTTTCCATTGAATATCTAAACTAAATCAAGCGTGATGGCGTAATTGGTGAATTATTTAGAATTAAAATACAGACAGTTAATAAGAACTCACTTTAAAAGCGTATTAGGAATACATAATTATATTTTATTGGATTTTACAGGAGAGAGAGAGAAATTGCTGTGCCAAAATACAACATGGATGGTTAATTTCGTTAAATATACGTAAACGGAGATGAGAGAAAAGCCGACATTGCAAAAGATGATGTTCATTAGTTTCGCTAGATTGCATACATGAACAGAGAGGACTATCAATAAGATTTCTTTGGTATAGATAGAACTTAAGAGAACTACATTCCATTCTTAGTCTGGCGTGATGTATCTGTCCCAATCTGGTACTGTTAAAATAGAATGTCGGAACTTTGAGAACCGTTTCGCGAAGATAGGTTTTAAGTATATTAATAGAAGGGTTATTCTTAACATGGTCGGGTAAGGAATTCCATAAATCAATGACAGATGGCAAAAAAGACTTATTACTGACAGACAGGAGGACGAAGGTTATTACCAGTGCGAGTATCATGATTATGAAAATTTCTGTTTCGTTGAGGAAGAATATCAAGAAGATAGCGGGGGGCAAAACCATAGACCATTTTGTGGAAAAGAATCAGTTTGTGTTGTTTTCGTCTTTCCTTGAGGGGAAGCCAGCCAGTTTCTGTATATAGTTTAACTCTACTAGTCAGTCTAGTGCCGCCAGTTACAATACGTGCGTCTTCTAGTTGAAGATTTTCTAGCAAGTCAGACTGAGCTTTAGTAAAGCAGTCCCATACCATATCGCCATAATCTAATATGGGTCGAATAAGAGTAAAGTACATAGTTTGAAGACTAGATCTGTCTAGAGAAAATTTAAATTTACGTAAGATATTTATTTTCGGCGAGATCTTCGTTATAATTTAATTCAAATGAGTAAATCTGAGCAGATATCCTTGAGTAAATAGAAGTAAATGTGACATTTACTTTGGAATAAATTACTGGACTTTACTTCTAAAATTAAATTTTATTAAATTCATGAAGTTAAGAAAAAAGTAAATGTCAGTTAAATTCCAAGTAAATGTCATATTTACTTGAGTTTAAAAGTTAGGTATACTTAAGAAATCTCACATTTACTTGGGGAAAAATTGGGTTTTACTCATTAATTAAATGTCATTTTTCATGCAGTGTTCACATGATACATTTTGATAGATTGTCACGTTTGTTCTCTCTCTCAAAACAATAATCAAACGACGATGCAAGATTTATAACAGGTTTACTGTCATTCTATTATTCATACAGAGCTTTTAATGATAACACAAGTCATAAATATGTATTTGAAAATGTCAAAAATGAATGTGTCGAGTTTATTTCCTCAAAGATAAATACTTGTAAGTAACGATTAATTTCTGTCCAATAAATTAGTATCGAATTGATTTCTATAAAACAAATCAGCATCGAATTGATTTCTTAAATTATACATTAGTACTCAATTAATTCCTCAAACAAATCGGTATCAAATGGATTTCCATTAAACAACTTAGTATCGAATCTAATTCTTTCAAATACATCAGTATCGAATTTATTTCTTATAGAATAAATAATTATTGAATTTATTGCTTAAGAATAACTCAATATTGAGTTAATTTTGCACTAAATTAAATCGTAAGATAAGGTAAGGTTAGACAAATTAGTATCAAATTTATTTCTATAAAATAAATCAGTATCGCATTTATTTCTATCAAATAAATCAGTACCGAATTTATTTCTTATAGCATCAATAAGTATTGAATTTATTTCTTAAGATTAACTCAATATTGAGTTTTCACCCAGATTTAATCGTAAGATAAGATAAGGTAAGGTTAGTCAAATTAGTATCAAATTTATTTCTATAAAATAAATCAGTACCGAATTGATTTCTATAGAATAACTCAACACTGAGTTAATTTTTCACTAAATTAAATCTTAAGATAACATAAGATGAGGTTAGGTTAGGTGAGGTAAGACGAATTAGTATCAGATTGGTTTCTAATAAACAACTCAGTATTGTATTGATTTCTTAAAATGCGTGATCCATTGTAGATTACGTTTGGTGTTTGTCATTATTTGTATCTATGACATATTTTGGATTGCTTCTTACTAAACATTTAAGTAGTGTTAGAATGTGTTATTCCATCTGTGTAGATTGAAGGTGGTAGACACTGCTGATGGACTTTTAGTCCTCGAGGCTTGCCGTGACCTGCACGCCACGTTTTTAATTTATTCGAATAGTGGTAAGGATCATATTACACACATACGTGGCGTTCTTTTGAAATTATCAGATATGTTTAAGAAACTTATGGAAATTTTAGAATAATGCACATACCCATCTAAACTTACATATCGCTTGAGAATTTGCCACAGTTGCCTCTTAGATTTCCAAATTTTGGTCCTTATTCTCACTGACGAGTTCCGGAAGGACTCAATAACTGTAATGCTCTAGGCTGTAGTAGTATTTAATAGTGGTATTCTCCTGGGCGTCTATTAGTCATCATCGTGTGACTTTCAATTATTTGCATCGATTGCGTAACCTTATAAATAATACTGTCATGTGATATTCAGTCTTCTGGTCAGACTATATAAAGAACAGGATTGCGTTT